TTTATATTTATAAGGGGTCCAGAAAATTAAATCTAAACCGAGAATAATGAAATGGATCATTTTCTGTACAAAAAGTATGAATTGGAATAGAATTACTGAACCTAATGTTTTGCAGGACCCTCTTCACATCCCTCAGGACCTTTGTCAGTGTTTCTTCAGGATTCAGCCTGCTTTCCTCTTCACAGTTGCCACCTCCTGCTTTTCCCACCTAAGTTCTTTGGGTCTGGTTTCACAGCCAGCCTGGAAAGACAGTCTTCCAAAATTGAATCTCCTACCCCTTTATTGCTGCTGTTCAGGACAAATACTCAGCTTATTTTATTTTAAGGGCTTTTACAGTTTAACTGGTAATTAGGGAGTATCAGATTCCTGATATTACACATTTATAAAAATGAGATGTCCTTTTGTTTTCTGATGGAATGATAATCAGGCAACTTAATCAGTTTTCCATGTATCTTACATTGCTCTATGGAGAAGTGAGTGTGCCTCTCTTCCCGCAGGTAGGACATGAACAGCTGTTGCCACATCACTCACTTTTTGATGGCCCCTGGTCCCTGAAGCTGTTTGCTCCAGTTATGTTCACTCAGCAGGTCCCTTTATTTATTTGAGATACTGCAGATTCCGATAGTAAACAATATCAATAAGAATGCCAAAATGACTGTTAACCTTTGTTTAATGAGTTGCTGTATTTTGGCAGGACCTCTTTGGGTCCAGGATCGTCTCCATTTCCTGCAGGTCTGGAACTTCAACTTACAGCTTTTCCATAGATGACCCTACCTTAGGAAAAATGACTTTTGCTACCCACACAATCCTGTTTAGAAGTGGTATCTCATTGTTATTGAAGAGCAATTTGGAATATCTATCAAAAGTTCTTTTAAAATGTGCCTACTATTTGATTCAGCTGATCGGTGATCTGATTTTTATCAATACTGAAAATCAGTTTTTACTCAAACTACAATAATTGATCATCATTTTTTTCCTTTTCTTACTGCCTGCAATAGGGCATTAGAGTGTCCCTTGGCTTGTTGCTTAATTAGCAGCCAATAAATCAGTGATTCAACTAGTATTTATTCTTGTTAGCTAGTCAGCACACATTGGGAGGTTTATCAGAGTTAATTATTCCAATACACAGAATAACGTACCGTAGGTTCTTTTATAAAATCTCAGAGCATTTATAATATATTTAAGCAATTGAAATAGTTTTATTCTCTGCATATGTTTTTTGACAGAAATGGGATATGTATGCTGTTTAGAAAATTGTTTTAATTTTATTTTTTACTTACTGTATTGTTACGTCTTACCATGTCAGTAAATAGAGATCTTGCTCATCATTTTTAGTGACTATATAATATTCCACCATGTGGTTGTACCATAGTTTTTTTTTTTTTAATGAATCCCTTATTGGTAGACTTTTCAGTTATTTCTAGTTTTTTATTTTATAAACAGTGTTACTCTCACATATATTGGTTATGCATCATGTGTACTTGTGTGCTTACTTAGAATAAATTATAGATTTGTTGCATCAAATTTTGCACATTTTAAGGGTTTTTGAGGTAAGTAGCCGTTTTTAAAATACCAAGCGGTTTACAGTAGTATTTCTAATTGTTGGAATGTTGAAAATGTTCTTTTTTCTGCATCCTCTCCCATACTGTGTTCTTTCATTGTTATTTCTGCCTGTCTGGCAAAAATGTTCTCTCATACTTGCATTTTTTTTATTATTAGTAAAGTCAGATATCTTCGTGTGTTTGTTGGTTTTTGTTCATTCATAAATTTATGTCCTTTTCCCATTTTTCTATTAAAGTGTTTATCTGCTTTTATTTTTTATGGGCCCAGCACGCTTCCGCTGCGCCACTCTGCTTCTGCTTTTATTTTTTAAATTTGTTTTAGGTATTACTTTCTCTAAGCATAAAATTATATTTAAATATACCTGTACTCTTTTTTTTTTTTAAGAATTTATTTATTTATTTGACAGAGAGAGACAGCTAGAGAGGGAACACAAGCAGGGGGAGTGGGAGAGGGAGAAGCAGGCTTCCCGCTGAGCAGGGAGCCTGATCCCAGGACCCTGGGACCATGACCTGAGCCAAAGGCAGACACTTAATGACTGAGCCACCCAGGCGCCCCTATACCTGTACTCTTTTAAATTACTTTATTTTAGGGTAGAATTTCTCAAAACGTGACTTATGGACCATTTGTAACAGTACCTGAGGTGACTGTTAGAATGTAGTTCGTTCTCCAGAGATTCAGATTTCTAGACTTCTAAGGGGAACCATGAATCTACCACACATTAAAATTGGAGAACCTCTTATTTGGAGGAAATATAAATTGTTTTAAGATTTTTAGTGCCTTATTTTCTTTTTGTCTTACTGAATTCACTTTTTATTTCAATAATCAAACTACAGTCTTTTTTAATTTTTTTAATTTTTTAAAGATTTTATTTATTTGAGAGAGAGAGAATGAAAGACAGAGAGCACGAGAGGGAAGAGGGTCAGAGGGAGAAGCAGACTCCCTGTCGAGCAGGGAGCCCGATGCGGGACTCGATCCCAGGACTCTAGGATCATGACCTGAGCCGAAGGCAGTCGCTTAACCAACTGAGCCACCCAGGCGCCCCATAAACTACAGTCTTAAAATAGTAAGATTTTCATCTTACTCCAGCCTAACAATAGATTTTACAGAAGTGTTTTGATATATGGTAATTTGGGTGTTGTATTACATAAAGGAAACTTTTATAAGACAGTGGGAAGCTTCACTTGTACATGAGGCAAAAGGAATAATTTAGAGGAAATCAGGTAAAATAAAGTAGGTAGAAGTATAAGGGGGTGTCCTCTAGTTTTAAAAACCCAATGAGGTATTTCTCATTCCTTCTTTTATATGGTAGTCTTCCTTGAACCCACAAATTTGAAACACCTGTTTGAAAAATTAGTTTAGGGGCACCTGGGTAGATCAGTCCATTAAGCATCTGCCTTTGGCTCAGGTCATGATCTCAGGATCAAACCCCGCACTGGGCTCCCTGCTCAACAGAGAGCCTGCTTCTCCCTCTTCCACTCCCCTGCTTGTGCTCTCTCTCTCTCTGTCAAATAAATAAATAAAATCTTAAAAAAAAATAGTCTAAATGAAATTTGAAAAATTATTGGTATTACTATGTATATAGTCAAAAAAGGAGCAATGTTCTCTAGTTTTTTTTTTTTAGTTGCAAGCAGATGAACATGCAGCATAAACAATAAACTACAAAGACTAAACTTATATGGATATTTTAATACTGTAACCAAATAAAGCTTTCAGTAGTTATTTGACACATATTTAATGATATGCATAATTGTTACTGTGTTGCACGTAATTAAGCTTAAATATGAACGACTGTGTTTACTACGAGTTTTCTATAGCCAGACCTCACATTTCTGGGGCCAGCTCGAAGGAGGAAAAAAATATGGCAGGCCAGGAAGCTGTCACAAAGATCTCTGACTTAGAGATTTTGCGTAGAGAGAATAGTCATTTGGGGCAGAGATTACTCCTAACTTTAGTATTCCTAATTCTTAGTATTCCTAATTCATAGACTTTCCTTTTCCCTTCCACCGCTCAATACCATGTACTAGAGGAAGAAATTGGAAAGATTCAGCCACTGCTTTATTTTCTCCAAATAATTTTTTCTACTTAGTAACTAAAGCTTCGGATGCAGAGTTCCCAGGCATTGATAGTGAACAAAGAACAGTTTCTTTCCCTGCTTCAGTGAAACCAGTCCGGGTCTCAAGGTCTGAGCCATCATGGGCTTTGGTATTTAAGTTGTCCTATTAACTTGGGTCTCTGAGAGTTTCTGAACCTGAACTCATGTTTTTTTGAACATAGGCTGTCCACAGCAAACACAGAAATAACTAATGTATATAAAACAAAATGAAATTAAATTTAACATCATTATTAAGCCAAATGAAAGTATGATAGCTTAGTAAATGCTTTTTCCTTCCAGACCTACCTTTCATTCTGCCCACACCCTCTCAGCCCCAAATAAGATATGTATTCTTGCCTCTGGAAAAGTAGGGGCAAGTCAAAAGAATCTAAAGCTTAGTGGAAACTGTACTGGGAATCATCCCTATTCCTGCTGTGATTTTTTTTTTTTTAGGGTTTTTTTATTCTCTGCAGCCTGGCTGTGCAATGAAACATTTGTTAGTCAAATATTTCTACATCTATGATACCATTTTTGCACTATCTAAAATGATGATGTAATGTTGGAAAAATTTCTTGGTAGTACTTTTAGAACCTTCTATTTGCCAGTTCAGTATTGGTTGATGGAGATAGCCCTTGTATAACTGTAATTTAGTAATAAAATTACCTAATGTTTGATGCTGCTTTACCATTTTATAAAGTACTTTTACATATATTATCTCATAATTGACTCAGATAGCATCCATGTAAGAGAGTATTTTCAGGAGGAAAAATTCTGAGTTTAGAGAAGTTAAATGATATGTTTACACTTACACAACTAATAAGGGACTTAAATTCATATCTTTCAATTTATTTATATTTCACTGTTTTCACAGATACCTTCTGCCAAGTCAATTAATGTAAAAATGCACTATTAATGATTAAAATACATATAAATTTTAAATTCAATAGTTTTGGTTATAAATATGGCAGATATTTAAAGATTTTATTTATTTGTCTAGGTATGGCAGATATTTAAATTTAGTACAACAGCATAAGAACTTTTCAAAATGGATCAATTATATCTTGTGACAAATGAAAACTGCCATTCTAGATAAGAAATTAAACCATATGTTATATAAACAATTGAAGGAAGAAAATTTGCCTTTAAATTCTGTTTAAGGATTGTTTTAGTATATCTATAGCATAAATGATAAAGTAGAAAAACGATACTATGTCTCTGAAATACCCATGTATTTTATCTATGAGGTCAGTATGATATCTCTCATCAAAGATTGTTTTCTTTATTTCTCTTTCTCGTAGTTCGTTGTTGGTGTATGGGAACACAACTGATTTTTGTATATTGATTTTGTATCCTACAACTTTACGGAACTCATCAAAGACTTTAGTATCAAGACTACAATATTTTGAGAGGAAATTACTGATATTTCCCATTAAAAAAAGTACTTTTCAGATATTTCAATCAAAGGAAGAAATAGCTCTTCTCCTAAGATGGAATCTATTGTTTGGGAATGTGGTTGATCAGCTTGATATGTTGGCCAAATGTGCCCTATGTAATAAAATGAAAAGAAGAGACAAGATGATGTCATTTTCCCGTATTGTGAAACCAAAAACAAATGCCTTTTGTGAGACCAAGCTAACAAACCTCTGACGGTGCAAAGAGTATTTAACTGTTTGAAGAACTTAACAGTAAGATATAGAAGAAATACTTTCAAGCTGAGACCTGCAGGTGTATAAAGATCTAAAATACATATTGAGTAGGCCTGATCATCCAAATCTCATTCAGATCCAGGAAGGATGGCTATGAGTTGGATCGTCTTCTACTTTTGGCCCTTGACTATGTTTGTGGGACATATAGGTGGGCACAGTTTGTTTTCTTGTGAACCTATTACCTTGAGGATGTGCCAAGATTTGCCTTATAATACTACCTTCATGCCTAATCTTCTGAATCACTATGACCAACAGACAGCAGCTTTAGCAATGGAGGTAAGACTTGATCTATTATTTGACGTATCTAAGACGATGATTCTTATATTGTCTTATTAACTAATCTAATGAATGTGTCTGATTAAAAAAAAGCAGAAGAATGTTATTTTTAACTATATCTTGTACATTAAGAAGTTATATATTTAGGTTCAAGCTCTAATAGTTTGAAGAATTCATGTTTGGGGAGTGTTACTCTTGACCTATTTTTAGATATGCTTTTATAAAGAAATATGAAACCCTGGAACATGGGAGATAATAGCCATTCAGAAGTTTAAAATTGTCCATGTTATGATATGATTACATTTTTTCTGTTTGGCTGTTAATAAAATCTCAGATACAGAGTAGAATATAATAATAGTCACAGTTCAGTCCTTAAGTATTGAAGGTAATGTGATCTTGTAAAACAAGTTCTTTGTTCAGCCTATAGGCTGGTGGTTTATGGTATTTGAATTTTCTTAAAATCTTAAAAAATTTTTCTCGTTTTACCATCACATCAATTTAAGAATTATAACTCCTGATGAAGAAAAAGTTTTGGTTGTATAAATTATCTGTTCTTGACCTCTCCAAATTTTATGAAAATGTGTTGCCTTACCTGAATTTTTCTAATGGTAATTCTTCAGGTAACTTTTTAATGATTTTACTTTAGAAACTATGACAAATTAATGAATATAGTTAACAATAGGTTTAAATAAGTATGCATGCATTTCTATAAGGGTTTTAGAATTCTGAACAAGGATAATATGTTTACAGGATAGGAACTAGGAGGCAGCAGGTGGTGGCAATAGAGAGTATAGGCTTTGGAGTTATACAAACCTGGGTTTGAATTCTAGCTCTACCATTTTCTAGTTTTATTACTTTGAGTAAATTATGTGAGCTTTCTTACCATAGTTTCTTTGCTTGTAAAGTGGAGCTAATATACAGAGAATGTTTTGTAGTTTAGTCTGTAATCTATTGTTATAGTGCTTTCAGCACATTGAAGCCTACATGTTTTGGAAAGCTTCATTTTATGGTAAAACCCAAAGACTCATTAGTTCCAACTAGACTATCTAAATTTGTCTAGGAAAATTTGTAGAAAGATTATTGTTTATAGATTTTGAAATGTGGAGGGCATCTTATATATTCCAAATATATGAAAATATTATAGAGGTTGAACAAAACATTTTCTGCTCTTCTGACTATATAAGGTCTAATGGTAAAGAGAGACTTGGTATAGACTATCAGATTAGGTTATGAAAATGGGTATTGGTTTAATACATGAATTTGGTTCTGGACATAGTAGTCCTTACTGTGTATTAAACCCATCAATTCTCTTACAAAAAAAAAATTGGAGTAGGAATACCTTTGTTTTTAGTATCATTAAGTCAGTATAACTCCTTTAAAAAGCAAATAGGGTACTAAGATGCAAGTCATCAAGATATTTGAACTGATTTGTGTTCAATTTTTGTCTCTGCTTTGTAGTAGCTTTGGACTTCGAACAAGTCACTTAACAAGTCCCTTAGCCTTGGTTTCTTCATTTGTGAAAAGGCAGTAAATAACAAAAAACCTCGAAGGGCTGTTAGGATTAAACTTATAAAGTAGCTAGCAAAGTGTATGGCACACAGTAGGTTAATTTCAAACGTTAATTCTATTCCAAATATCATTTCTAAATGATCCTAAAGAGAAAGTACTAGAAGGATAATGTATTTGTTCCAAGTGACCTTGCATTCCAGGTGTAGGCTCTTGGGACATTCATAATAATGGCATAGTAAGCTATCACTGCCCTCTTCCCAGAGTTGCCTATGCAGTCTAGATATTTTATTGGCAATAAGATTGCTTCTGTTTAAATTCCATGCATTCTGGGGAGAGCACCAAAGTGGGCAATATTTTCTAAGAGAAAGCTCTAGTTCTTTGAAGTAAATAATGTTGCAGATAGTTGTTTGTTGCATGGTTGTCATATCAAGACACTGACACCACTGACAGAATTGTCAGACAGTTTGAGAGTGTAAAGTTTCTGTAATGGCAAAGGGCATGGAAACTCAGCAGTTTCTACCCTTCCAGATGGAAGTAGATTCTCGGGTTCTTAACAAGGGCTCGAATCTGCTAATGATACCTTCTGTCTCTGATCTTAGAATGTATCTGTCAACTTTTACCAGGAGCAAGTAATTGGAGCAAACAATTGAAGCACATTTTTGAGTGTTCACTGTGGGACAGGGTGAATTGAAAGATAATTTCTTAGGGCTAGCATCTTTCTCCTGGCCTGTATGTCAAGTCTGCCTTGGGTTCACTCCTGTACTGATTTGGTGAATCATAATGAGTGCCTGTAATAGAATAGTATATGGCAGTGAGCTAGGATACCACAGATGAGAGAAAGTACAGAATCTGGGTTATTTCAAATATGATTGTTTACAGTCAGTTTGCTGTTCTTTCATTGTAGGTATAAGATTCTTTGTACTTTCATTGAAATTGGGACATGTTTAAATAAATGAAATAATGTGTCAAGTCATTAAGTTGGAAAGAAAAGATCTTTGCTAATATGTTTATTATTTCTCTATCTGTCCCTTCTAAAACGTAGTCATCTATACACAAACACACAACTAAATTTTTATGAGTTCTTAACTTGGTATCTTTTCCCCTATCAGTGGCTTTTGATCGGGAAAAAAAAAAATCTCATTCCTGAGTTTCCTAAACCATTTTGAACTGTCCAAATTGCTAAGTAAATTTTTGGGAGCTGTCCAGCATGGACAACAAATTGCTAGTAACTGTCTTTACCAACCACACATTATTAGGTATTTATGACTGCAGTAGTAATGAAAGAGATCTGAACAGCCTTTCCCCCTATGCTGGATAATTAAATACAGTTGAATAGGAAGGAGACAATTTAGTGAAAAAAGCACTGAAATGGGGACAGGAAATTTGTATTTTGCCGCTAACTAGTTTTGTAACTTCTTTATGTTGGTTCCCTCTAGGAAGTAAATTTTTTTCCCTATCCATTTTATAAGGTTGTTAAGATCAAATGATGTGGGATGCCTGGGTGGCTCAGTTGGTTAAGCGTCTGCTTTCAGCTCAGGTCATGATCCCAGGGTCCTGGGATCAAGCCCCACATTGGGCACCCTGCTCAGCAGGGAGCCTGCTTCTCCCTCTCCCTCTCCCTGCCACTCCCCCTGCTTGTGTTCTCTCTCTCTCTCTGACAAATAAATAAATCTTTTTAAGAAAGGTCAAATGATGTAAATGGTATGTAAATTTAAAAACTTTGAAAAGTTAAAGTGCTGTGTGAATGCAAAGCAGTAGTCCTTAGTCCTTGTTGCCTGTCACCCTGTTTAACTTCAGTTAGTGTGTGGAACAAGCAATCATCTCTTTATGATGATGATCACTTGTCTGCTCTTTTTTTTTAAGAATGAGAGAGAGGGAGCCCACACACTCGAGTCGGACGTGGGGGTGGGCAGAGGGAGAGAGAAAGAATCTTAAGCAGGCTCCATGGCCACCCAGTGTAGTGCCTGATGCAGGACCCGATCCCATTACCCTGAGATCATGACCTGAGCTGAAATCAGGAGTCACTTAACTGACCGAGCCACCCAGACACCCCTACTCTTTTTTTTTAAGAAACTAGACTGCTCTAGGATAATCAGAGGAAAAAACTCTTGGGATTGTTTGTGTTTGCCTCCATTTCTTGTTTTCCTTTGTCATCCTCATTAAAGATTTTCTGTAGCATGGAAAGCTGGCAGCAGGATACATCCTTCAGGGAACGCAGAACCTAAAAGCTCAGTATCCTGGTATCTTTTATGATTCATTAAGAACAAAGCACATTTGAACCAGTCTTCCTGTTATCCAAACCCAAACTGTAACTTAAAAAAAAAACAACACCTTTTTATTATAATTTCAGTTTCATAGAACTATAAGAGCATAATGGACACCATATACCCATTACCTATCATCCAGCTTCAAAAATTATCAACTCACAGCTAGTTTTGTTTCATTTATGACTGTATATCCAGCTGGTTACTTTGAAGCAAATCTCAAACACCATAGTTTCATCTATAAATATTTCTGTATATATCTCTAAAAAGTAAGAACTCTTTCAGAATGTATAAGTACCATCTTTATCACTTCCTCCATACCATCAACTCTCCAGTTAATTCAAATTACTCTGATCATTTCACAGTTTTTTTATAGTTGGCTTTTCAAATCAGGATTCATATATTGCATTCAACTGATATATCGCTCAAGTTTCTTTTAATGTATAATTTCTCCTTCCCTTTCTTCTCTCCTTTTCTCTTGTAATATGTTTGCTCTGTAGTTTTCCATAATCTGTTTTGCTGATTGCATCCCTGTGGTCTTGTTTACCATGTTCCTCTGTCTCCTTTTTTGATTTTTTTAAAGAAAACTACAGGGCGCCTGGGTGGCTCAGTTGGTTAAGCGACTGCCTTCGGCTCAGGTCATGATCCTGGAGTCCTGGGATCGAGTCCCACATCGGGCTCCCTGCTTGGCGGGGAGTCTGCTTCTCCCTCTGACCCTCTTCCCTCTCGTGCTTTCTATCTCTCATTCTCTCTCTCTCTGAAATAAATAAATAAATAATTAAAAAAAAAAAGAAAACTACATAGGCACATAATATCTGGTTGTCACTCTTTATAATTTTGGCATCCATTCATGATCATCTGCTAGATTGATAATATCATTAAAGTTTGGCAAAATGGTGATACTCTAATTCTGCATTCTTCATTTCTTAGCTGGAATGCTTTTATAAACAGAAATTTCCTCTTATTGACTATTGGGCTACAAAGTTACTCTCATTTACAGTTTGTATAAGAAAGACACTCAGATAGTGGTCTCTAAATATCATTTCCAACTAAACAGAACCAGTGCTGTCTAAAGAAATCTGATTCAAAGTTTGAGGCAGAATTCTTTTTTTTCTTTTAAAACTTTTTTTTTTTTTTAAGATTTTATTTATTTATTTGACAGAGAGAGACATAGCAGGAGCAGGAACACAAGAGTGGGAGAGGGAGAAGCAGGCTTCCCGCTGAGCA